ATAGCTATCAAAAAAAAAAAAGCAAGTTGTGTATTGGATGGTCAACTTAGCAATAAGAGTATTAAACACTAGGATCATCAATTTACACTAACATATTCATGCAAAAACCCCACAGTTATCTCTAATTCCTCACTTTCTTTCCTTTTCCACATGCCTTCCACCTTGTCTCGAAGGTAACTCCTCTACATTCAACATTTCTTCCATCTGCTCAACTTCTTTCTACCTTGACCGCTAAAATTATCTCCATCTGCTCTGCTAATATCATCTCACCTAGACTATTACAAGAGCTCCCTCTAAGTGCTTCTCCTGGCTTCAATTTTTTTGGAGGGGACGGCAGGAGGAAGGGGCACAATACTGATTTTTATTAGTTATCTCTGGCTTGACAAATTTTGAAAGATGTTACAATAGATTTTAAAAAGAGAACCGTCAAAATTGTGGAACAAAGGTAGAAATGTGGAATGAAGATTGTCAAAAGTCTACATAACCCCATTTGGAAGTGGAGTATTAACTTTGGTTCTCTTCATTCTGGATATTTAGCCTTGCTAACAGACTGAAGGATGGAACATTTTGGTTTTTGCTTGTTTTCACCTTGAGATACCATTTTTACCCACATACTAGGATATGGAGATTTGGAAGCAAAAAAGAAAATTACTTTTAATGTACAAAAAACCAAGTTTGACCTCAGTGACTTTTTTCTTGGTATACTGGTATCATGGTTTCACTCTGGACTGTACAATAATCCATCCTTCAGACATGAGTCAAAGTGATCCTATAGGAACATAGATCACATTGCATCATTTGTTTCCTTCCAATGGTTTCGTATTAGAATAAAAATCCAAATTTCTTACCAAAGCCAATTTCTTGCCTTTGCTGTTTCCTCTGCCTTTTGTGTTTCCAGATCAGCCTGCCTTCTTAGAAAGCCTTTCCTCACTCAAGCTAAAGCAGTAGCCCCTTACTTTGAGGTGGATCTGGGCTTTCATAATGTTTTAAAGCTCCCTGGGTAAGTCTGATATTCAGTGATGCTGAGACCACTGCACTAAATGAATCTTGCTTTTGCTTGCAATAATTTTTCTGCCAATTTACTTCTTGCTACCTTCTTACTGCCTGTGGGTTGAGAAACTGGAAAACCAACATGTAAGGAAGTGGTAAAAAAAGAAATGCCAATCATCAGGAACCTGTACTAAACCCCACCAAAGGTCGCACCTATCTGTTAAATGAAAAGATATGTTCATAAACTCTAAAGACTCTTTACTGCCTATACCAACTTTTCTTAGTGATGACTCTCAGCTCTGAATAGGAGAGCTGAAGTTGTCAGAGAAATCAAATGCAAATGTTACCTGCTCAGAACTGCCTTCCTCAACTTCCTGGGTAAAGAAGGCTATTCCCTCTTCTGAGCTTTGGTAAGATTCTTCAGTTTCTGATATACTTTTTTTACACTAATTACTACTATTTTTCTTTTTCTGTCAGCTCCATAAGATAAAGGACTCATCTCTGTTATTCACTGATATATCCCCAACACCTATACAGAGTCTGACACATGCTAGATTCTTAGTAAAAAATGGATTATGTGATTCATTCATTCCTTCAACAAATATTTACTGAACATGATGTCCCAGACAGCATTCTTGGCCTTGAGGATACATCAGTGAACAAAACAGTAAAAACTCTTGCCGCCTTATATGCTAATGTGGAGCACAGGCAAGATAAGATTAGTAAGTACAACAAAATATATAGTATACCAGTTAGAATAAGTAGCAGGAAGAAAAAATACAGAAAAAAACATCTAATCTATGATAACAAAAGTACATCACTGGTTGCCTAGGAATTGGGGTAGAGAGAGGGATGGACTATAAATAAAGGAGCACAAGGAAACTTCTGGGGGCTGATAGACACATTCTGTCTCTTGACTATAGTGGTAATGTCACAAGTTTATACACCAGCTGAAATTAATCAAATTGATTATTTCAAATGCATACAGATTATTGTATGGATATTATAGCTCAAGTTTTAAAAAATAAAACAGGAAGCGGAGGACTGAACTTTTAGAGAAGTGCCCAGTGAAAGCATTACTGAGAAGGTGAATTGGGGGAAAAAAAAAAAGATGTAAGGAAAGTAGAAAAGCTATTATTACAGATATCTGAGAGAAGATCAATCCAGAGAGAAGGAAAAGCAAACACACAGATCGTAAAGGAGGAGCATGCTTGGCATGTTCCACAAATCAGCAAAGGAGGCCATTAGGTCTAGTTGGAGAAGAGTGAGTGAGAGAAAGACCCATTAATCTGATTGAGATAGCAAGCCACTAGTGAGATGAGAGCCATGAATACATACATGATTTGACTTATACTTTAAGAGAGACACTCTGTTGATATACTACTGTGCGTTGAGAATAAGATAGAGAGCAGATGCAAACAGACCAGTTGGGAGGATGTTGTTATGATCTAAGACACAAGTGTTGGAGATCTGAACAGAATAGGGGGGAGTAGTGAGAAGCAGTAAAACTTTAGCTGTATTTTATAATTAACCCTAACAGGATTTGATGATGGAATGGATGTGGGTGTGAGAAAAAGAAAAGACATAAATTGGAAGAATGGAGGTGTCACTAACTGAGATGAAAAAAAAAATGAAGGAGCAACAAGTTTGGGAAATATATGAGGAACTTAGTGTGGGGCATATTCAATTTTTTGATACTCTTTTCACAAAAAAAAATCCTGTAGGATTTGGGCTGTATATTTTATTGCCGGCCTAGGTTGTATTACTGTTTACTTCTTTCTTTACAACTTATCTTGATTCAAGAATATATTTGCACCCAAAGGATTTTGTGGGTTAAAGAGCAATTTCAGTATCAATGCTGTTGACTACCATATTATATTACTAACATGTTTTTTTGGCTCCTAAATGTTAGTGTCAATGGTTTTTGGAAAAAAATCAGTTTAGTGATCTCCATTTTTGTTTTCATTTTACCACATATTACCTCTGTTTAAAGGCAGTCATAAATCTACCTCAGATACCTTCTCTAGAAAATGAGGATAGGGATCCCTGGGTGGCGCAGTGGTTTGGCGCCTGCCTTTGGCCCAGGGCGTGATCCTAGAGACTCGGGATCGAATCCCACGTCGGGCTCCCGGTGCATGGAGCCTGCTTCTCCCTCTGCCTGTGTCTCTGCCTCTCTCTCTCTCTCTCTGTGACTATCATAAATAAATAAAAATTAAAAAAAAAAAAAAAGAAAATGAGGATATACTACCTCATTGGCTAAGTGCTGAAGGACTCTCTGACCTCTAAGATTTGTTGATTATATTATGACAGGTAACCTTTCTAGCAATAGCAATGTCTATTTATTTATATATTGTCTGTTGCTGCTTTTGAGCTACAACAAAGTTGAGTACTTATGAAAAACACTATATATGGTTGCCAAGCAAAAACTATCTGGCTACCTAAAAAAACTTACCGACTTGTTCTAATTGGTCATAAAATGTCCCTGAAGCTAGTCAACAAATTATTTGTAGTGATGTTTAGATTTACACATTGACGAAATCGTTCTATACTTAAAAAACAAAAAAATGAAATAATCACTACTGCCAAATAAAAAATGAATAGCCTATACAAATGGTTAGTGAAACTTAGATAACTACATGTTATCACACCTTTCTAATCTGTCAGATTTTTGGTCTAGGAACAGTAAAAGGAAGGCCATGTAAGACAATGGTTAAGAGAATGGACTTTAGGGTCAGACAAACCAAAGTCAATAAAGGCAATAGCACTATTTTACAATAACTGTATAAAAGATTCTCCAACTGTATTTTGGAAAAAAAATTATTTTTTTAAGGAATTACCTTTTCAATTAAAACTAGTGTCATTGGGGATCCCTGGGTGGCGCAGCAGTTTAGCGCCTGCCTTTGGCCCAGGGCGCGATCCTGGAGACCCGGGATCGGATCCCACGTCGGGCTCCCGGTGCATGGTGCCTGCTTCTCCCTCTGCCTATGTCTCTGCCTCTCTCTCTCTCTCTCTCTCTCTCTCTCTGTGACTATCATAAATAAATAAAAATTTTTAAAAAACCTTTAAAAAAAAAAACTAGTGTCATTATAAAACTATAAACACTGAAAACTCCTAAGAAACTTAAGGAATATGTGAGGGAAATGGACAACTAAAAAAAATGCTCTCATCTCTAGAAGAAAAATTAATTTCTATTATAGGATGTAACAGAAGCACTTATTTGATTATCTGAAAAAAAAATCTGGTTAGCTAATTCAGTGATCTGGGTTTTCTCTTCCTAATTATGGCTGCTGCTTTTTTTTTTTTTTTTCCCTTTTTCCCAAAAGGCATACACCAGGTTATTAAAAGTCTGATCTGGCAATCATCTGAAGCACAAACTGAATGACTTCAAGAAAAACAATGTAGATGCCAAAATTATCTGCTATAATGACTATCGAAACTTCAAGAAAAAAAGGAACTACTTTGTAAATAATTAAGATCAAACTAAAAATTATTTGTAGCCTTAAGGACAGAGATTGCACATTTAAGGTCTCTAGGAACAAATATATTACTATAATTAAGATACACTGCCAATAAAGATAACTGGGTGTGCTCGCTTCAGCAGCACAAATAATAAAGATGACTGGGTGAGACAGTTTTACTCTGTGTTGTTTAATCTCAATTCTTGGTTTTTATTTAGTATCTCTCTCATTGCTTTGGAGATTTGATCAAATGCCAAGAATTCTGAGATCTAACCAAAACGGAGTAGTGGCCAACTTCTGTTCAATCACCTCAATGATCTATTTTATTCTTCTGAGATAGATGCCAGGACCATGAGGTTGGTTTCCAGATTCTATCCACAACTGGGAATATCCAAATTTTCAGATGATTCTATCTCTGAAAAGGGATTCTAGGAAAAGAGTTTTTCCTATTATTATCTTGCAAAAAAGACTGTTACATAAAATCAATCTGGACATATTGCTAACATGTAATGGGAAACAGAGTTTACAAAAGGAAAGTGAAATTTGATTTACCTGTCCACTTTTTCCTATTTCCAGCTCCATTATGGCAACAGGGGTATGTATTTGAGCTGAATGCCTTGACTGTGATTTGCCATCAACTCTCCAACTCAGGCCCCGAAGCCCACTGTCCCAACGGCTCTGGTTCATGAGGCTCTCTCGAATTTTTGTCTTATGGTTCTTCCAAAATTTGGAAATGACAGCAGCTTGGTCAGATGTGATCCCACCTTGCTTTTTGGTTTGAGCAGTCAAGAATGCCTCCAGCTGGTTGAAATCCATGTCTGCAGATGCAATCGACTATAATGACAGAAAAAGTAATAAAGTAATAAATAACTAGAAAAAAAAAACCCAGCTTCTTAACTGCAGGTCATATTTTGAATGATTCTTAATCACTGAATAAGCTTTCAAGAAGGGCCATCAATGACAGTAATAAGAATAAGCTCTTTAAAAGAAAAAAAATATTCTTTTTACAAGTATCTAGTATCAGAAAAGCTACCTGTTAAAAATTCCATGTCACTCAAATTCTATATCAATAACTAGAATCTAATTCTGAAATATTAAATTCCATGGTGAAAAAAATAATTTAAAAAATTTATAAACTAAATAATAAAACAAGAAAATAAATTAATTCATCCTCTGATGAAATCTTACATAATTTCACAATGGCTTATAGCCAGGCTTGGTTTGATATACTATAATTGTATAATGCCTTGTCCATAGAAGCACTAAGTAAATTCTGTTAAAGGAATGTATTATGTCAGCTGTTTAAGTCCATCTTTAGTCAAATGGCTCATTCACAGTTCTCTGAAATGGTATACAATTTTATGTTTCTTCATAAATTTTTAAAATTTAATTGCCATTGCTGTTTTGAGAACAGTAAGCTGCTATATAAACTGAAGCAGAAAATCTTCAAATGTCTGTAGCAATGGAGCCTTAGAGAGGACAATGACTATTAATGGTTTGGTCTCAAGATTTTCCTTGCCTCTTCTTTGGTATATCCTTATCCTCTCCTGGCCACTGGGACTGGCATGAGCTCCAAACCAGACAAAGCATAGTATCCTCCTCTCTCTGGACACAACAACTGATCCAAATCAATCTCCCAATTTAGAGTAGGAGAAGAAATAGTCTTGCCTCTTGGGGTCATAGTATCAGAAGAATATATGACTAGGATGCAGACTGCTCTCTTTGATCTTTTGGCAAAGGCCTACCTGCAATAAAAAAAAATGAAGACAAGAGAGTGGGTTCTAAGGGAGTGAATTCCTTGCTCTATAATCTCCGAGGTCCTGGTTCCTGTAAACCTTTCCTCAATTCTGTATGCTATTTCAGCATCCTTTCCACCTTCAAATACCAAAAAACTCAATTTACTATTCAAGATAGTTTAAGCTATATGCCTATTATTTAGAACCAATAGTCCTGACTAAACTTGGGCAGTAGCAGTGAGAAGAGAGGAGTGTAAGGAAGACTGTACAGGTAGAGTATAGGTAGAGAGAAAAAAAAAAAGTATAGGTAGAGGAAGTAGGACTGGGGCAGACAGACAAACATATTGCCTTTCATTCTTCCATTAATGTAAAAACAATGTATGATAAATATAACAACCTTCTGGTAAAGATATTTCACTTTATATTTCACTAAACATTTACTGAATACCTGCCAATTTACCAGGTCTGGGGACCCAAATTCTCTATCTAAGCCACCCAACATAAACATCAGTTTGTATAATGTACTAGAATTAAGCTAAATTATTCTACTAGCACGTTGCTTCACAACATAGGTGATTCATATCATTCTTCTCCTCAAATTATATGAAGATATCTATTTTGATATAACCTCACCTGTGACAGAATTAATTTTGGTTGGGTCCCAGTCAATGATATCTTGAACTAGGGCCAATTCATCCAAATTTAGAATCATCAGAAATTAAATAAGGAACTGACTGTGGTTTGAATTCAAAGTCAACAATTTTCTTTATTCAAGAAATATCTGAATAGCTACACCATGGAACAGACACTGCTCAAGGCATGTCACCTCTATCCACTAGTAGCCTCAGTTGGTACTCACTTATTCCTGATGCTTCTTTCTCCTCCACAACTGGAATTAGTGGTTCTCAACCCTGGCTGCACATTAGACTCATGAAGCACTTTTTTTGGTAAAGATTCATTTATTTATTTGAGAGAGAAAGAGAGTACATGCGAGTGAGCAGGGTGAGGGGCAGATGGAACGGGAAAAAGAATCTTAAGCAGACTCCACGCTGAGCACAGAGCCTAAAGCGAGGCTCAATCCTACAACCCTGAGATCATGACCTGAATAGAAACCAAGAGTCCGATGCTTAAATAACTCTGCCACCCAGCCACTCCATGAGGTACATTTTTAAAATATCAATGCCCAGACTCTACCTCAGAAATTCTGAATTCTAAATATGTAACAGGGCCCAGGCATTGGCATTGTTTAAAAGCTTTCCAAATACTTCTAATCTAATGAGCAACAAAGATTAAGAACTAAGCCTACATTTCGTTCATCAACTTCTATTAATTCTTATATCAAAATAGTTCTCTAATAATGTGCCTCCTCTGCTCTGTCCCTACTACCTAGTATCAAGTACTTGAGAGCAATCACTATCTTGTACCTAAACTAGGCTTGTACTTTGTACCTCCTAAAGTCTATCTTCTATACCTCACCAAAGTAATCTACCTAAAATGTCAGGGTGCCTGCATGGCTCAGTTGCCTTAGCCTCTGACTCTTGATTTTGGCTCAGGTTATGATCTCAGGGTCATGAGAACAAGTCCAACTTCAGAGTTGGTGCTCAGTGCAGAGCCTGCTTGGCCCTCTCCTTCTGCTCTTTCTCATGCTCATTGTTTCTCTCTAAAATAAATAACTAAATAAAATCTTTAAAAAAGAAAAAAATAAATGAAATGTCAATAGGATACTATGACTTCCCTGTGTTAAGGTTTCCAAGAGCTGTCTATTCCCTGCTATAGTGGTTATGGTCAATTGTAAAAATTCTTGTGTAAGTTGTAAGTTACAAATAATGGTATTAGTAGCAGTAAAGTATTAAAGTTTGTAAAGCTTTATTTTTATAAATAAAAATTGGAGGGTTTTCAAAGTTAACTTTATATTAACAATTATTGCCTCCTTTTAATTGTTTCCTTGAATGGAAGGAAAAAAATTACATACATAAGAAACCTATGTCAGAATAAATCATGCATATTACTATTTTTTTTAAGATTTTATTTATTTTTTTTATTTTTTTATTTATTATTTATGATAGTCACACACACAGAGAGAGAGAGAGAGGCAGAGACACAGGCAGAGGGAGAAGCAGGCTCCATGCACCGGGAGCCCGACGTGGGACTCGATCCCAGGTCTCCAGGATCATGCCCTGGGCCAAAGGCAGGCGCCAAACCGCTGCGCCACCCAGGGATCCCCGATTTTATTTATTTATGAGAGCGAGCAAGAGCATGAGCAGGAGGAAGGGCAGAGGGAGAGAGCGAAGCAGACTCCTGGCTGAGCAGAGAGCCCAATTTGGGGCTTGATCCCAGGACCGTGAGATCATGACCTGAGCAGAAGGCAGATGTGTAAACCACTGAGCCACCCAGGCACCCCCATATTACTATCTGTTAAATGTATAAGAGAGAAATAAAATACTGAAAACTGGTCATGTAGGGTAGTGGTCCTCAACAAGGTTGCTCTCCAAGGTCACTTGAAAAATGTGGAAGCTGTGTTTGGTTTCCTACTGACTGAAGTGCTATTGGCATCTAGTGAGCAGGATCTAGGGATGCTAGGCATCCTATAATGCTCAAGAAAATGAGTTGGCGACTTTTGTAAAGGCATTACCATCACTATTTTATATATTCCTCTCTTTTTTTGGCCCAGCTCTAAAAATATACAAACCTAAGAGTCAGCTAAGCTCATGAGCTATACAAAAATAGGCAGTATGGCCTCTGGGATGTAGTTTACCAATCCCTGCTTAAGAATCCCACAAAACAAACTGACTCATGTCCCATATGACTTGGTAATGTCCCATCTAACATTATGTGGAAAAATCTGTTTATAATTACATGAACCAGGATCCCTGGGAGGCGCAGCGGTTTGGCGCCTGCCTTTGGCCCAGGGCGCGATCCTGGAGACCCAGGATCGAATCCCACGTCAGGCTCCCGGTGCCTGGGGCCTGCTTCTCCCTCTGCCTGTGTCTCTGCCTCTCTCTCTCTCTGTGTGACTATCATAAATAAAAAAAAAAAAATTATAATTACATGAACCTAGAAATTAATCTTTTTTCTTTTTTCATTAAAAATGCTTTGCAGTTTTAATAAACACCAAATTTTACAAGAAGGAAAGCAATATAATTTGTACTTTACTGTGGTCAGAATTTTACAAACAGGTTGTTGAACATTTTGGAAAAAACTCTCATTACCGATGGCAATGCCAGTTAAAATAGCTTAATTATCAAAACAATACATCTATATAAGTCTGTGTTTATTGATGCACATTCACAAGAATTCTACATATAGGTACAAATATCTGTTTGATTCATTATATGTTCTCATGCAATAATGACTGAACATTTACATTTTAAAATACATTATTTCAAATTACTTATAAATTGACTTTATATTAGATTTATGTCATGTTGATTTGTTAGAAATTATGCATGTTATTTTATTATATATGACTTATAATTATACATAAGTTCTATTTAAGAATAAATAAAGGGGGGGGTGCCTGGGTAACTCAGCAGTTTAGTGCCTGTCTTGGGCCCAGGGTGTGATCCTGGAATCTCAGGATGGAGTCCCACATTGGGCTCCCTGTATGGTGCCTGCTTCATCCTCTGCCTGTGTCTCTGCTTCTCTCTCTCTCTTTCTCTCTCTCTGTGTCTGTCTGAATAAATAAAATCTTTTAAAAAAAGAATAAATAAAGGGACATTAGAAAATATTAACTATATGGGATGCCTGTGTGGCTCAGTGGCTGAGCATCTGCCTTGGGCTCAGGGCGTGATCCTGGGTCCTGGGATCAAGTCCCACATCTGGCTCCCCGCAGGGGGCCTGCTTCTCCCTCTGCCTATGTCTCTCATGAATAAATAAATAAAATCTTAAAAAGAAAAGAAAATATTTACTATAGAAAGGAAACACTGGACCTAACAGGTTGGAGAACCACTGCCTCCTATCTTGCAACTTCCTGCTCCCTGCAATTGCCATTCACACAGCACTAACCTGTTTGAAATTCCCCTACTAGAAATCCTAACACGCTACTTCTTTGCAATGTGCCTTTGTCTGTTATTCTAACTGCTTTAAATGTCCTTCCAT